GGGTGTTATATCGAAGACACCCACTAGGGGATGCAGCGTGAAATGCAGCTTGAATTGAAAACTGAGCGGGTCCGTATTTGTTTTTTGTTTTTGGAGGCCCTTATGTGCTTGCATGTGGTAAGAGAGATAAATATTTTCCAAGGGACAGAATGGAAAGGCTCCACCGAGGTGGACACCCCGGGATAAAGAGAGTTCAGCCAACTATGGCCGAAGAGTGTTTCTTGGACTAGTAAGCACTATACTGATTGGCTATCGTGCTCTGAAGGGTAGTGAAAGCTTGACCGCGTATCAGTAAATAGCATATGTAAAGATTAGAAACCTACTATAAACTTGCGAACCTGCTCATAGGCAAGTGATGTTTCAGAACCAAGGGGTAAAATAGATACCGGTAATCCATGCTGGGCGAAGTAGAGCCTAGCTCGTAAAGGTGTGGGTTTGGTGTGTGACTGAGCTATTTTTGACTCGGCAGATGAACAGGAACAAGATTTTCGCCCTAAGCTAGGTGTTAAGCTAAGCAGTCTTGAAGTGGGACGAGTTCCCGTTCTTCCCCGGAATTTGGAGCCTAGGTTTGACAGCTTTGGCACACTTTATCTTCTCAAAGCTGGGTATATAAGCCACGAAGCGGTAGATATGTTTCTAGGCCCGTTTCCTGGTAATCCTGATCACGAGGACACCTACACCGGACTGTAAACGCGCACTATACCAATAATGATACAGTATTGGCACCTGTTGTGCTTTGTGACTGATCGAAGGATTATACTAGGAAGATATATAACCTCTGGGCGAGAACAATTGGAGCCCCCGAGCTCGCTGAAAAGAAGGAGGTTGTAGCGACTGTATCCATTAAATAAAACAATGCACCATACTATGCTAGAATAAATGCCGAGACGAATAAACACGGTTAGGAACGATCCGGCAATATGGGTTATTCCATGGGAGAAAAGGGCACGAACATTGGAGGGGTTGGAACTCCCAAGATGTAAAAGCAAAGAAGTTAGAACCTTCAAGCTCAGGAACCCGGAGCTGGGGTAAAAGCGCAACGCTGATGATCTAAGCTCTGTTCTGAGCAGCCTACGGAAGTACCAAAATATAGGCAACGAGACAGACTTTGATATACCGGTAGCTCTTCAGGGCAATATTTCATAGAATCCATTGCAGGGACACAAGATATCAGCAAGTATACACCATGTGTCTGCACTCACGGGGGAAAATCGGGCCCACCTCCTAGAGTTGAGAGCAATATTGGTGACCTTTGAGTCACCCCAGTTGCCCTGTTCCCCGTAGATCGACACACCAACGGTGTTTGGAACGGTGCTATGCATGTAATGCCGCCAGCAACCTTCATCTGAGCAGGATGGTCTTACGGCACTGCTTGGAGCCTTGTCGTAAGGATTAGTAGATGAGAAGAGCAAGTGTCGTAACCGGTAGTACAGAATTACATGCTCCAACTGCACTTATGCCAGGTATCCGCTCGACCAAATCAATATCGTAAGAACTTGAATAATTGGCACTCGCTCTAGGACGTTGGAGATGCCTTTACTGGGAAGGTCCGACACTTTTTTGCCTTTCTGGGGGGCTGAGGGGGATGGTTTTCGCAGTGATTTCGACCCCCTATTCGGGAGAGGGAATTTTGGAGGTCTTGGCGCGAGTGCCAGTTATTCTTGTTCTTACGGTATGATAGTAACCTTTATCGTTGCTTCGACCGGAGCGCAGGCTCCTCTTCCTGCCGAGCCAAGACAGGTGCCATATCTCGAAAAGCCCAAAAAAAAACGCTGTAGGATGGACTGGAGGCCGAGGGGGCGGACCGCAAGCGTGAGATTGTTTCCGCCAAAGTAGGGATTTCGAACTCCTTTTCATTGGGATCTTGGTCTTCTGAAATCTGCCGAGGAGAAATGATGACTAGACGTTGATTCTTAAGTTACCGGTACTACTGGTAGCTGATTTCAAAAGTATCCGGACACCTTGGCGCTAATTTGTATTAGGCTTGGCATGGAGGTGTCCGGATACTTGTGAGATTTGCGAGTATAATAATATCATACCATAGAAGGCGTTTCCTTGGGGACAGAGACATCTATAGGTCACACGTCTTGGCAGACATGGTGACCCGGGTCGCGGCAAAGTTAGGATTATTCAATTGGATGTTCCGGGACTAACAGGCGCCCACCTTCCTCCGTTTGATCTGTATTTTGTTTTTGTAATCTGTCAACCCCGAAAGTGTCAGATGATCTAAACCACTCCCGAGCCGATGGGGGGGGGGAGCGGTTACACTATTGCCATCGCAACTGCAGGAGATATTCCCCAGCGCCCTACCGGGAGAAGTAACCGTCGGTACTCACAGCCTAGTATCGGTATGACTCGAGATTTTGGGCACAGTACGGTAGGTAGCTACCTGTGCTGGCCTTTCGTGTTTCACGAAGAAGGTAGGTAAGCGCGGGGAGCTTGATTCTGCAGTTGCGGCGAAGATGGCCCCAGCCCTGCCCTAAGCGGGATTTTGAGGATACCACAATTCAGAGCGTAATTAATACCTACCAATCACTCATGAATCTCATCTTTTGGCTGCCTTAGATAACCGACATACAATACTCGAGTATCATACGTATAGTACGCACCATAATTTTTGCACTTGGGTTACGAGTCTCGAAGTTACCTAGTATGGTACAGTACCGATACTTGGGTTTCCCGGAACCGCAAAGTGCCCTTGTTCCCAGGCAAAAACAACTTTACGCACAACCATACCCTGGTGATTTGGATGCCGGTTGACAGTGAAGAACTAGAGGAGAAGAAAAAAGAAGGGAAGCTCGGCGCCTGGGGCTCTCACATGGCCACCAACCATAATACTAACCTAACCAGACTATAACGATTATATTATAATAATATGCATGCTTTTTTACCGAAGAGCGAAGAGCGGACTGGATGCGAACTTTTCATCGCCCTGCGGCCAAACGGGTTTTTGTGGTCCTGTCAGAATCTCTCGTGATGCTCTTACTGCGTTCAAAAGACGGTTCCGAAGTATGGTGCCAGTAGCCTGCATCATCCTACATCACTCGGGTTCCTCTCGGGCCCCTTGTCGGAATTGTGTCCCAAGATGTGAAAGCAAAACGGTAAAGACTTCGCACAACTTCTGCTCTCTGTATCTTTCTTACTTATTATCCAAATGAAAGGGCCAGAAGGCCGAACATATATAGAGAACAATAGTGACCTCATACATCATGAAAAGAAACCTGAAAGTAACCTGTTGCGCGCCTTCAGCTGATAGCGCATCGTAGGTACTCGTCATGTATACGCCTCCAATCTCAGAGGTCACAATGAAGCCTAGCCGATACGAAATAGCCGCTCAATAATTAAGACCCAACCGGTGATGTCTCACCACCACAACAGATACAACCAAATAAGATAACTGGATATAGGAAAGTAACGCTTTAGACAAAGTCATAGTTTGAGGACAGATGGAAGACAATAACAGGAAATTCAACACCCCTCACGCGGTGGGGGCATAGTAATCTGAGCGAACGAGTCATCCCATAGCCAGGCAAAGCATTCCCTAAGGATGAGGCGGGGTAAGTGGGCTAGGTCTCTTCGGGATGAACGCGGGGATTTTGGCGAGAACACAGTTGCCATGCCTTGCCGCGATACAGTGCCGCACAAACACATAGGAACTGGTGGGTCGCCGTGGGTGTGGTGGGGTACAGTACTATGGTGCCTGAGGTATGATTCGGCCCGGAGAACACCAAAATGAAAGGATAGCCCTGGTATCATATGAATTGCTGCCGGTATCGCAGGCTCACAAGTACAGTACCCAAAAGTCCTGGAAACCTCCAATTTGGTTCTCCAGCGAACGGACGAAAAACCCACGAAACAAAATCTCTAACCCTACCGCCGCACCCACGGACAGATGTCGCCAGAAATTCCATCTCGTCTTAGGCTCCCCCCTCCTGTCGCTCCTTTTGGTCTGTACCGGGCAGTTAAAGAGCGAGTGATCGACAATGACTGACGGTAAGTGGTAAATTTCTTGCTCAACGCGGTGACTACGCGTGAAGGTATGATACCACGAATCTGCAAGAGGCTAAATGGGGAGAACCTATTGAGAGGTTGTAATATAATTCTTGCGGTATTCCCCTCTCCTTTTGAGGGAGTGTTTGGGGCTGTCTGACGACAAATTTGGGTTTATTGAAGCCTTGGCAGAGATCTGCGTGGCCGCTTGGGGGGATCCTTCCTAGTTGGAAGATTGTAAAAGAGGAAATGACGCGAAATTGTGAACGCTGTCGTCGTGGTCGAAAAATGCTAACCTTGGAATATGATACATTAATCCTTGTTGAGAATCGATGCAGGGAAAACACAGTGACATTTTGGGCGTGCTGCTCCACAGGACAAGTGTCACGAAAATTAAAAATAAAGAAGAAGAGCCGATTGAAGGTGGGGTTGTATCATAGTCTATTTTGTTATGTCAAGTACTGTACATACTTTACCATAGGGAAATGGAGAAGCAGAAAGGAGTGATAACCTCCAATAGTGAACAAGACCCTTGTCCCCGACCGAACCCCAGTCACTGTTTAACGGTGCAATGCTCCACTTGAACGGACTGTGCGTGATATCGCGTCATCTGAGCAACCGATACGCGGACGCGGGGCGCGTCGCCCGGCGGAGGAGGACGTGTTGCCCGCTAACCACCCGCACCCACAAGACGCGTGATGGGAGTGTATTTTCTTTGCTGCTCCCAGCCCCCAATTCTAAATTTCGCACCCTCCTCGTACCTCATCCTCCTCTTTTTTCCACCTTCTTTTCCCACTGTACTCGTACATCAATTTGTTTTTTCTTTTCTTCCCTCTTTTGCAACTTGTTCCATGCTTAGCATCATAATTGCAGCCGTCCCTCCTCCTCCTCTTTAATAACACACTCACCCCAACCACCAACCTCCCCCTTCAAGATATACACACCTACTTTTCTTCTCCACACCCATCACATCCTATATTCACACGCTCTCGAGTAGGCCCGGCTCCATAATGGAAGCCGACCCAGAGCCACATCCGAGTTCTAGCGGCAGCAATTCCGGTTATGCATTCATTACACATTCCCAGGGAACGCTCCCTCTCAACCTCTCACCTTCAATAGACAACGCGACTCTGGCTCGCAGACGTAGGCGCCGCACGTCCGCACACGACCAGGCCATTCTTGAAGAGGAATATCGAAAATGTGATCGACCGGATAAGTCCAAGAGGAGGGAGATCACAGCCAAAGTCCAAATGGGCGAGAAAGAAGTTCAGGTAAAGAAATAGAGAAAGATAGAAAGGCTAACTAGATATTTATCTCCTTCCCTCTCCAGTTGCACGTTTTCTACAATATTATTATATATCTTGCTTTCCGTTTTTTTCTTTCTTTGAATGCCTATATCTGGGAATTTATTGGAATAATCATTGCTCACCACTCCATTGTCACTTTACTTCTCTTTTGCCTCCCTGCATATTTCCGTTTTTGAGTGAATGTCTAAGATGGGCGTTGTTTTTCTGTGGCTAGTGTGTGGTTTTTCTAGTTGGCTCGTTGGTCGGTTGGTGGTGTTCATGATTACTAACCCAACACGCGTCTTAAGTAGATATGGTTCCAAAACAAGCGTCAATCAACGCGCCGCAAATCTAAGCCACTCTTACCACATGAAATAATACCGCACAATAGTCAGAATTCGAGTTCCTCCTCACAGCAATCTTTGTTCGAGAGTTCTCAACCCTTCTCCTCTTCCCAACCGCAAGAGAGTAACAATAATAAATATAATCATAATAACCAGGGTGATTGTGGTCGCAGCATTAGACCTTGTTCTGCCGCTGCCGCTGCTCAATTTCCCGACACATTCAGTGACGACGTGTTGCATTCCCAAGGCGGGGGTGATTGTCTTGGCGTTAGTGACGCGGACGACGAAGAGGGATCGCTCCACCAGAGTCAGAGTCACCATCAACCATACCAAGTCGCGCAGGGTAAACCTTCAATCAGTGCTACTGGACACAAGAACAATAGCAACGATAATCTATCGCTTACATCGGATCGGATCTCTTCACCATCTTGTCCCGAGAGCAATCATTCAGCCACGACAAAACACCATCACCACCACCAACGTCAAAGGACCTTCTTTGTCATAGGCGGGGAAGAAGAGGGAGACGAAGGAGAGGACGAACACGGAGTTTTCACACAGGTAGCGATGACCACTTCCGCTCATAATCGCTTGCAACACGTTCTATCTTCCGCACCTACACCTCCCCACCACTGCCCACTCGGCGCGTCGCGTCGAAGGACGGCCCCAACGACGCCCAAGAACCCCCCACGATTACTAAAACGCTCGTCATCAATCCGACTCTCAACTTCACTAGAGGGGAAAGCTTCGGTAGTGTTGGAGGACGAGCCGTCTTCACCCCCGCCCCCGCCACCACCACCACTACTTACCCTACCAGCACCGAAAATCCAACCGAGCTCGGTATCCCGTAGCGCCTTGAAGCGCCGAACAATCGATAGTAAAGTTTGGGAGTTTTGCTGCGATAATCAGGCCGTTATCCGCTCTCCATGTCAGCCACATGAGGAACCGTCAGAGGTGACGGAAGCGTTGGGATTGGTCCGGGGAAGGGGGGGTGGCAGCGCACACAAGCCGTTGCTAAAAGACGGCTCGATGGGGAACTCCCTGGGCATGGTAAAACCCAGAAAGCATTTACAAAAAGCAGCCCCTTCATCCCCTATAAAAGCCAAGAAGAGCCGGAAGGTAATCTCTGCAAAATCGGCACGCCCAAAGCCGGTCTTGTCAAACAATGTCAACGCCAACCCCTCCACACCAATGACAACTACCACTGGTAGTAGCAAAAAACCCCGCGCAAACCCCCTCCTCCCCGAACCCGGCCAAGACAGCGACAAGGAGAACCGCCCCCCTGGGGCCCTCGTTTCCCCACCCCCCGAACACCGCAGAGCTCTGGGCGTCCCGGGCAAAGGTGATATAATCAACAACAGCGCAAAGAAGAAGAGGCCAGCGGACAAGAACAAGACTCCGCGGAAAAAGAACAAGTCCCTATCCGACAAGCAGAAGAGACGTGTCCTGGAGGAAACCAGGAGTGAGGGCATGAGGATATTCTACGACGTCCCACCGACGAGCAGTCAGGTTTGCGAGACGGAGTATGAGTTACCTGGTGCTGGTGGTGAGAGCCAGTCGTTTTTCGACGGGTCCAGCCAGGGGAGCGTGGTAAATGCGGAGCCAGGAAGGGTGGATGAGATGGAGTGCGTGGAGAACCTGTTGAGTTTGAGAGGCGGGGTTTGGGGGTAGATTGTATATTGATATTTAACTCTGGTTATCTTGTGTCTTTTTTGTATAACTTGGCTGGTTATTTTATATGGTTGGTTGCGTTCATTGTAAGTTAGGTTACTTGTGGTTTTTTTTTTTTTGGCATGGGGCTTGTGGGATTGGCTTTTTCTATTTTCTGTTCTGTCCTGTCACTTAGCTTTTGCATTTTCTACTTTTTTTTTCTTTTTCTTCTTTCTTTCTTTCCGATTTTCATCCAGTGCTTTTGCTGTCATACATACTACATTCAATTTCGATCCGATCCATCTTGGGAGGTGTTTTTTTTTTTTTTTCATCCTCAAAATTGGCGTACCTGACTTTCACATCTCATTTATAAACATCCAAATTCTATCCCTCCCCATGCCTTCTAATTTTGTCATTTCCTTTCGCTTTCTCAACGATGACGTTTTCCAACTTTCTGTCTTGCCTTTCCCTAGATTAGCACCTCGTACAGTAGTCACAGTCTACACATTACCCACGAACCCCTTCAAAAGGGAGTAAGGAGTAAGGAGGGAGGAAGGAAGATCAAAAGTGAAATCTGGGCATAGTTTTATCATATGTAGAATAGTGTGGCACGCTCGTTTTCATTCGTGCTTATTGTAACAGACAAATGACAAGCCTGTTCCGTTCCGGTCATGGTAATTACTGGGCTCGATTATTAGTTCTTGCACTACCGCCGCTCGTACAACCTTACCGGGCACGACACGAGCAGGGAAGGGACTTTGGGGACCAAGGCAGCAAAGTACACGTACTGTACCCGACCGATAACGGAGGCTTTTTCTTAATCTCGGTTGCGAGTATTGTACTGTACTCGTATTGGTGAATGGGGTGGTGTATGTATGGGTGGAGGTGTGGATTGAGGGAGGGCTGAAGAGCATATGTATAAGGACGATATTATATCATACGTAGTGAGTGACTTTTATTTATTACAACGATTACTATGGTAATATTATGACAATCTCGTATATCATAATTATATAAGTGCTGTTCTCGTGTTGGGTTTGTCCCCGATCTGGAGATGAGGTTGGGACGTCGTGAGAGGTTACATCGTTTCTGCCACGTTAGGCTCCGTCCGCTCGGGCTCGGTAATTGTCGCGGGGTTGTGGTTGGGCTGTGGTTTCTTTGATGATCGCGGGTCACAAGTACGTACCGTACCTCGTGCGGTGCAGTGCATGTATTGCTCGTGGGAGAGCGAAGAGTGCTGGTAGTTTGGAGACAATGAAAAATGAGGGGAAAATAAAATAGAATCGGAATCTGTAAGCAGGAAACGGTAACCAATCTAAATCTAAGAATGCGGGGTTGTTATACGGTACGGAAGAAGAAATGAAATAAAGTTAACAGAAAATTCCGGTCAGAACTGCAAAGAACAGTATTGTATATTACCGTATCATACTGTACTGTACAGTACATCCCTAGCCGCACGACAACACCCTACCAAAATGGAGTAAGAAATCCTCGCTCGACAAATAGCCGATACCCATAAATGCTCAGACCGGCATGTGTATATTAGACTTCCGGCTTCGATCGCGGGCAATGATGACTCCCAAGGGAAATTTTTAAGCTGAATCCGGAAGGAAAGGAGAGGGAAGCGACAGGAGTGTCCACGGATTGTCGTGGACCCTGGGAGGGAGGTGGAAGCGGCTTAGAGGAGGGGGAAGTGGCCGGTGGTATATATGGGTGTGTCTATTGGAATGAATGCTTGAAGGGGGAGCAATGTCGCCCTTTAAGGGTGATTCGCTTTTTAAGGGTGATGAGAAAGATCTTGTTTTGTTGGGGTCGAACAGCGTTGAGGCTCGCGGATTGGCGGGCTTGCAGTAGCTTCACCACCTCCTTATGCCCCTTCTCGGAAGCTAGTTGGAGCGGCGTCGGACCGTCATTATTGGGCATGTTGTTGGGTTTGACGTTTTTCCGTTCCAACAGTATTACCTCCACCACTCCATAACGCCCACACTCGGCGGTCCACGAGAGCGGTGTTCGGCCATTATCGTCGGGGCTATTGGAGTTGATATCTCTCCACCTTAACAGTACCTTCGCTACTCTATCCTGCCCCTTCTCGGCGGCCCAAGTGAGTGGTGTTCGGCCATAATTGTCTGGAATACCCGGGTTGACGTCTTCCCGTTTCAGCAGCAGCTCCACTAGTCAGTCCACAGTGCCAAAACCAGTCAGCCCACGAGAGCGGCGTCAGGCCATCATCGTCGCGGGTTGACGCCTCCCCGTCTCAACAGTAGCTTCACTGCTCCATCCTGCGCATACTCGGCAGCCCACGAGAGTGGTGCTCGGCCAATATTGTCTGGAATATCGGGAATAACGTCTTCTCGTTTCAACAGTAGCTCCGCTGCTCCATCATACCCCCTCTGGGCAGCATACGAGAGCTGTGTCTAGCCCCTACCATCTAGAATATTGGGATCGATATTCTCCCGTTCCAACAGTAGCTTCACTGCTTCGTCATATCCATACCCGGCAGCCCAAGAGAGTGGTGTTCGGCCCAGGTTGTCTAGCATATCGAGGTTGACGTCCTTCCGCTCTAACAGTGGGTCCAGTACTAGAACGGCGAAACCGGGTCGGGAAAGGAAACACGAACGATTGGCAAGCTTCACTCACGTGTGCGAATGGTAGGCAATTGACGCCTTCGCACAAACAAACAAAGAATCATGGGGGCTGTCGGATTCGTGATCGCATGCCTTCAATAAAATAGGTTCGCACAGGTGCAGGAGGAAAAGAGCCAATGCGAGAAGAGAGAAAGCAATCAATTAACGTTGTAGTCAAGTTCGTCGTCGTCGCCCTCGTTGTAAAAGCAGTACGATCAACGAAGGAGAGGAGGGGGAAAGGTCCCTTGTATATGATGCCTCTCTACTCGTGGCCAAGGTTGTGGCTAGGTGCCGAGCCCGGAGCACTCCTATCATACAATGTATGATACCCAACAGCTCAAGGTAACTTTATGACCCAACAACCTAATGAAAATTTGCAACTTGATGTTGCTTTAGAGCTTCGATATTTCACCCAATTTTAGATCCTATTTATACAAAATTCTACTCGCGTGTCTTTGCCAGAAAGGCCCAGGACAGACCTGGCTGGATATTTGGTGAGAACTCAAGCAAAATATCTGGCTGGCACAAAAGTCAGAAAATTACGAGTATGATACCAAATAAGTGCAGAAAAACAGCGCCAAGGATGGCATAAACCTGATCAGGGGATGGGCCCGTGACCTCACCAATGTCTTCTGACGGCTTAAACTATCAAACTACCCACGAGTCGCAAGGGAGGAAAGGGGAGAAAATATTAAACAAATCCAATTCAACAAATATCTACGCGAGTACAACCACTACCGGTTTTAACGCTCCCTTTGATACTCACAATCTCTCACTCGGGGTCCTGCGCATAAAGCATAAAGCAGCGCAGCAGAGAACGTGAAAAAGGGGAGAGTGCGGGAACCGCCGCGCGATCCATTTCTTTCTTTCTTTCTTTTGTTCTTCCAAGCATTTGGGGGTTATATATTACCTTAAGGTCAATTCCAAATATGATTGCACGGTGTTTCCTCGGATCCAATAAAGGAAGAGATCATAGTGTCGTGCTGTGCACGTAGGGCAGCGACCCTAGATAGCCTTGATATACTTTTTGTTTCTTTAAGGGGAGTGTAGTACAGACTGGCAGGACCTCGAGGGCAGTTGAAAAGCGCTATCAGAGTAGTTCGTCTACTCCTTTCGTAGCGAGTCTTTGGCATTCGGTATCATACAAGCTCCTTCCGTCCACCTATCATCTCTTTATGACAGTCTTGGAGTAAGCCTAAAAGTTATTCTTTTGCCACATTACCATTCCTGAAGCCCAACCAACTTGGCACCCTCTGATTAACCGAAACATTAAATACTTGGCCGGGGGGCGGCCAGCTCCTCTCATCCGCCATAGCTACACGGACTGATCGGGTATTGTGCTATCGAGCCAGGTTTCTGTGCTATATCCGATCGCGGTAATGGAAGTCTCGCTGTACCGCCGCACTCGTAAAGTTCTCGTATCCTTCAGAGTATGATACCCCCTGCCCGTGGAATCGCTTTTATAACGCCACCCACCCCCCCCCCCGTTCAAATAATTTGACAAAAACAAATTGTGAAAATAGTTTACAATACCCATAGAGGCATATCTAAAAACAGTAATCTGGAGGGCTCTTCTTATTCTCTAGTTGTCAATTTGTACAGTTCCTAAGGTAGATACATAAATACAAGGGAGGGTATGCGAACTTTACGAATGCGGCTGTACAGTACACCACACAGTGAGTTATGATACCTCCTGTTGTAACGATACCCTTTATCCGTTGAAGATCTAAAGATTTTTGGCTAGTCTCTTTGGGATTGTGATCGATTTTCCATATACATATAACAACAGTTCTGCGCATATAACTAGGCCTCATTCTTTCTCCCTTTCTAGAAAAATATTCTAATTAGCAGTCATCGCTCGATCTCGGGGAGCAGCAAACTTGGCCGAGTGGGTGAAAGGACCTCACTAGCATCATTTCCTCTCCCGACAGCGGTACCCACTCGCGTTTATCTTGCGCTCCTACGGGAACGCAAATTCAACGGTTGTAAGGAACACGGTAATACTGCTGGTGACGGTGGCGGATGGCAAAAAAAAGGAAACGTGGGCATAACCGCAGTGCTGCGGGGTGATTTCGTTTAGGTACAGTACATGGCCTTTGAAACAGTGTTTTGGAACTGCTACTACATTTGTTCGTTGTTGACTCTTCTGCGCTTTGGGTTTTAACCACGCTATGTTTTATCATACGGTATGATATTATGATATTCGGAGGCACCAATGTTGAATAAATCACTTAGCTATCACAACTCCTCACTCGGTCTCCACACACTCAAGACTCTGGGCACAACCCCACCCAGAGCCGCATCATGCCAAGCCAGCCAAACCCATCCTATCCCTGTCCTATGATAATATTTTTCTTTTCGCCAACCTCCCTCCACCTCACCGCATCCATCTGCTTCGCTTCTCCCCTACCACCCAATTCCCCACAATCACCTTACCCCAGGGCATCGGTTGAAGATGGCAAAAGACCGCTCAACGACCAAGGACGGAAAGGAAAAAAAGAAGGAAAAGCGATCCAAGGACGCTGCAACCCCACTCGCAGACGAAAACAGCAGAATATCGAAGAAACACAAGAAGTCCAAGAAGAGCAAGACAGCGAATCCTCCCACCGATGACGAGCTTGATATCACTGATGCCACTACTGCTGTTTTGAGTGTTCTCTCTGCCTCGGGGGCTGCGGAGGGAGCGAAGGAACGCACTGGTGCCGCACCGATCGGCGACTTGGTCCTGGTACCTTTCGCGAAGCCATTGGCTGGGGAGAAATTGAGCAAGAAGGTTTTCAAGACTGCTAAGAAAGGTCCATAACCCCACTACACTACACGCCCCCTCGCAATCAACTACGTCTGCAGTAGGGAAGGACAAGAGCACGCTAACAACTCTCCCTTCAATAGCCGCCAAAAACAAATCCCTAAAACGCGGCGTAAAAGAAGTTGTCAAAGCACTCCGCAAATCCCCGACTGGCGCCACAGCGACGGGCGCAAGCTCCGGTATTGTCGTCCTCGCCGCAGACATCTCGCCAATGGACGTCATCTCGCACATCCCGGTTCTCTGCGAGGACCACGGAATCCCTTACGTATTTGTTCGCTCGAGAGCCGAGTTGGGGGCTGCGAGCGCTACCAAGAGGCCTACTAGTGTTGCCATGATTGTTCCTACTGTTTCTGTAGGCACGAAGGATAAGAAGAAGAGGAAGGGTACTAGGGATGAGGCGATGGAGGGGGCTGAGGAAGCAGAGGGAGGAGCTGATGGGTTTAAGGAAGCGTATGATGGGTTGTTGGCACTTGTTGAGGAGGCAGGAAGGGGGGTTATGGTTTAGCGAATGGTTGTATGATAGTTTCAATTCGAGAAGTCTTCGTTTTTTTTTGGTTTTTTGGGGGTGGTGAGGGTTGGTATTTGTGAGTTGTATGCTGATATACTTGGGGTCAGGTGAACACTAGGTGTTCCGCTTAGGCTCTGTGGTATTGGAGAGAAAACAGTGGCGTGAGTGGTCGGGAACGCAAGATGGGTGGTTGTGGGTTTGATTAGGTGGTGGATGTGTCGTTGCCAAGGTTGACCTTGAAAACCTCGCACTCACCTCAGGACATCAACATATACGGCAGCAAGGGGCTCCGGCCCTTGGTTTACACCGGAAATAGCCATTTTGAAAGACTCACGGCTCGACACTACCTGAGTGAGAAATTTCAAGAAATCGTGGGGATCATGAGAGCAACTGTTTCCTTCCCCATCTAACTGGAGCCCTCACGAACCCCCCGCCTCTAACGCTCCCGCGTCGCGCCCGTCAAATCCTCTCAGTAGCGTGAAAACCCCAGACTGGCAAACATCGGCTCGATCACCCAGACACTAACAAGGCCCCTATGCGACTGCGCCCATCTCCTATTCCTGTGCTTGCGCTCGTCAGCGCGCCTCGCATGGCGGCAGTTCGGGCAATTCTTCCTCAGAGGCTCGACGGAGTCGGAAATGAAGTAATAGGACCGGTATGCAGCGGTGAGAGTGGCAGTGGTAGATGCGGGAGCGGCGGGAGTGGTTTGGGATTGCCCGAGAGGATCCTGAACTAGTAGAGTTAGTAGATCTAGGGGGGTAGGTGGTGGGTTAGGGAGAGGTGGGGAGAGGATTTGTGTGTGTGGGGGGGGGGTGGTTTCTTGGTGGCTGTGAGCCTAGAAACGTGATGGGCGCGACGGATAAAGGGACATGATCTATATCAGCTGAACGCAGGATGGGATGAGATTGTTCACGAGCCCGTGTTTTTGGTATAGGAGTCACTAGTCACTAGTCGGTTAACTTAGTACTCATGGAATGGCATCTTCCTTTACTTACCAGGCCAATATCTGAGCGCCCCAAGTACACTTGAGCAAACTCTAGGGCTCCTGGCTGAGGTGGCCTAATATCTAATTCTGGGTGTACTTTCATACCTAGGAAATCACTATACCCTCGTACAGCTCGCACAATAATATTATAAATTTATTAAGGAACTGTCCGACACAACACTTTTATTTTATATTATTCCCGATAACTGCCCTTTTTTATTGAGGGGGTGTCTCGGCACACGAATAAATATGGCAACTTTTTTTTATTCCTCCTTATATTATTATTATTATTATTATTATTATTATTATTATATTATTATTATTATTATTATTATTATTATTATTATTATTATATGTTTGATTGGAGATATTTCTACCAGACCTTATTAGGCTTTAGGACTGAAACAAAATAAAGCACCTAGGCGCCAGCTCTTTCTCAATACGGTATGATACCTTTCATCGAGCTCATCCAGCATGGGATACAAACAAATAGATTCGTAGAAGTTATGGTGTCAATAAGCTTTGGATAATACAACTAAAGAATAAATTTCACTTTAGCTTTATTGAGGTGGCGGTCGAAAAGGAATTTTCTTTGAATTAATTTTGTCGGTACCGAACGGGGGTCTTGAATTCCGAGATAAAAAGGAAACCATTCCACTAACGATACTTATGATACCATCCCGGTTCTTCAGATACTGTACAGGTTCTAACCCATTCGCTCCCAAACCCCCGTGGTATTCGAGTGACCGTTCATGTCCCATCCATTCATCCCCCTCCCCCTCTCCCATCATCCATTTCTCCCCGCACCCTCTCTCCTCCCAATCACATAAAATCGCCAACAACCGCAACCTTCCTCGGCAATCTCCTATAGCACAGATAGCGCGTGACCCGCGGACACTTCCTACACTTCCACCTATCCGGCGCATTACTCTCGCCGCACCCACAACGTTCCCCGAACATCCAACACGTGGCGTAATCTCCCCAACTACACCATCATTTCGGAATCGAATCAATTACCCTTAGTAAACTCCTCTCAGTCGAGAAGCCATCTCCAACTCAAATATCTCTCGCCCGGATGGGCCTGCAAGGATCTCACCCACAATATCTGTTCCTGGTGGGAAATCGTGCTCGAAGATTGGTTCCACTGACCCTCTCATATTGGCAAGGACTGATTGGCGGAAGTGCCGCCTTAGAAGTTGGTCGGAGACGCAGTGAGGATTGGCCAGGTCTCTGCACACGGGATCGAGAATTCTACCATCAAGCCCATCAACATCGCTGTTAAACACAACTACTTTGTAGCCGTCGTCAGGATTAACGGAGATTAGGTACTAATCAAACATTTGGTGGACATGCGACCGGAGAAGAATCCCGTTTTGGGCTGAATCGATCTTCGATGATGGTGGCGAATCGTTCATATCTGTGATCCATCGTCCATAATCCGGATTAATCCAGATACTTTGGTGGTGGAGAGGGAAGAGATGGGCAGTCTCAAAAGAAACCCAGTCCGAAGCTTGGATACTAAGGTCAGGATTTGTCATGCCAGATATAACGCATTTCCGGTCACGAGCGCGGATTTCATCGCGGAATCTAGTCTCCTTGCCGGAGACGCTGCGAGAAAAAAGCCGGTGCACCGAAGACCAGACAAAATTAGTGATTGAACTTTTGGCCAAACAAGAGTACTCCAGGTGTAGGGGTAAGTGTGGCTTGGAGAATTTGTTGTTGAATAAGTCTTTACTTGTCATATATTGCGCCTTCTTCTTCGTTCCTGCCATCTAAATCAAGAGGGGGAACACTGCAGGTTTGGCTGCCACGGTTACCCTCTTCAAAGCGGGCATGAAAAGAATCTTAGATGTGCAAGATTCGCCTAGCGATACGAGCCTAGAAGCAGTAAGGAAGATAGGGAAGGCCGCTTTTAGAATGCGAATTGAGAAGGGGAGGGCTCCCGAGCCCAATATCGGGTGAGAAAATCCCCACCCGGGTAGGCTTATTATGATTTTGTGTATTATAATTATGATACCTTCCTGTGAATATACCAGACCAGGGATCGCACTGCGAGGGATATGGAGTGGTCCAAAGTGGGGCCATGCCTCCTTCGATGGCAGTGGCCCTATTTTATAGATTTTGGTATAATATTATCATAATATTATCATAAATTCTCCTTGTCTTCCCAATCCTTAACAAAGTAAAATACATTGATAAACGGATTAATGGTTTTGAGACTTATATCATATTCAGCACAGTATGATGGCTTACTTCCCATAGGTACAGTACAGTACAGCTCCCCAAATTCCCAAACTCGAGTTGTGGATCGCACGGCCACTGCGATGTTTTCGTCAGCATGAATATTTGGGCAACCATTCTCCAGTAGTCAAAGGTACTGCACCAGTACCAGACTGAAAAATAAAACGCTTCGGATAAGTCGGAGGAGTTTCTTGATATTCATACCACAAGAGGGGAGATGCGAGTGGTGAGTAAAGCCTTGAGTTCTAGTTTTAGGTGGGGTAACACTATTCTCAACAGCGGATTCTCTCGATACGAGATAAAGAGGAAAGAAGAGGGGAAAGGGTGGGGAAATTCAGTCTCAGATACTAATCAGCCGTTCGTAGCGATTAATCCTTAGTGACAAGTTTATTGTCTGCAGAATTCGTGATTTCTTAATTATTTTCCTCAGAGGCATCTTGCGGGGCGCTTGAGGTCATTACAGATGAGGACTTGGCAAGTTATCAGACACACATGTACTAACATATCGGACACATCTACTAACATATCGGTGGTACGGTGCTCCCTCGGGGTTCTTGAGTCTCAATTTTATGATTGAACCGATTGACATCGGAGGCACCCAGTTACATCACCATTCATAAGAAGAGGAATTCTGGTAGGTGGTTAAGATCCTTTCCGAGAATAATGTTGGTGTGGTAGAGTGGTCAAATATACTCACCCGACAAATGCCAAGATCTGCACCGCCACCCGATCAAGGTTTAAACGGGTTTAAACCATCCATCCATCCCCCCACCTTCTCCCCTCATCCCCCATCTGGCCATTCCCATTCTCACTCCTCCAAATACATCCCACACGGGCCTATACGTCCACCTCTGCCTCACCCATGTCGCCACCATGATCCACTCGTATTGACAAAACGGCGAGGTCATAGCAACCAGATAAGGCAAAGACTTGGACGGTCATACCACGATCACAATAGGGCTTCTCAGTGAGGAAAGATATCTGTTTCGCACTTCATTTAAAACTAAACTAACGGAAAAGACGGGAGGTATATTAGACTAAAAAAATGAACGCATCCTCCAATCCTTCTATCCTTCCACCGATCACTACACATTTCCATTCTCATCCTTTCTTCGCACGTCTCCCGCTCTCTTATTCCGACACATACTTCTCAATGAACTCTTCCGCCTTGTTAGCCACAGTACGTCCCGCTCTCCTACAAAGGACTCTCCCACTACCTCCCAGCCTCCGACGATACCGTTTACCTGTGGTAGCGTTGGTTTGCAGTTCTGGCGCTGGTATATGTGACCCTGGTTTCAGTGGACAAAAATGGTTGCGCACCCATACTGGGTTATTGGGGTTCATATTTGTTTCCTCGTTTCTTACGCCCGAAGGGAAATTTACTGGAAGTGGATTTCCTGTTCGCGGCCTTCTGTCACTGGCTACACTAACGGCGGGATCTCTGATGGAGAGGGGAAAGAGAAGGCAAGAAGGAGGATGGATGTGCATTGTTTTTCCCACTAGAACTGGTGAGGACCCCAAAGCATGTAAGATGAATCAAGCAGCTGCCGGACTCGGTATAATTATGTGGCATGCTCCCCCTCACCCTGTACACCATTCATTCCTCAGTTCCATTTTTTCCTCATGCCACTGGACAACTATACATCTCTGGCAATGTGGACCTACATGCTTCTTACCAGAATGCAGTGGCAGGTGATACTGTTGGCCTAAATGCTTAGCATCTGTTAGCCTGCAATGACTGCTCCATCTGATGGCGGACGACCAATTTGCTCCTCCATTTATGTGTCAGTGGAATGTCCAGTAACAGAT